CATGCAGGAATGAATTGAGGAATGAGGCCTCAGTTCCTTCAATTCACATCTTTGAAATGTTTCAGTCACTTGTCCATTCTGACCCATACTATTTTAGAATGAAACTTGTTTCGCTAGACAGTCCATTAAACAAAAGTTCCTGACTCCCCTTCCCCACAGCACATCTTTGTGAACGCATATCGGGGAAGGTGGGGGTTTTGTACAATCGCCTGTCCTGCAGGTACACTCTTTATTTGACTCTGCACTCCCCCCGGGGCCTTGTTCTGATGAGTTTACATTGTCATCCTGAGACTGTCGAATTGAGATTTGCTAAATGCGTACTCTTCAGATTCTGATGAATGCATCTGCCGAATTTGCACAAACTAAGAAGCGTCATAATGTTGTCTTTAAATGGTCACACTTACTCCATGACTAATTTAACTTGCGTAGCTTGAAGTCTGATCAGATTGCGATATATTGTTTAAGTCTGTGTGAATGAGAAGGAAAAGGGCTGTACGCATGTGGGATGTGTCCTGTCCTGACTCTGTTGTGTGTCTGGACCGAGGGGTGTGTTATTAGTTACCTGTTATGTTTGGTGGCAACCACCTCTGCTGAGGGTGCATTGACTCAATTGTAGATAAATATACTTGAGATCAGGATGTATGTGATTTTATCTGTTTTTCTGTAGATGGAGTTTTGATTGCACAATAAGAAATGGCTAAAAAGCTAATTATGGTTGCACGCGTTTAGCGAACCCACTGTAATGGTAAAAATGTTGACAAAAAATATTACCGTTTTACTGCAAGTCACATGATGACTTAAAGTCCCCCTGTAGTGAAAATCAAGTTTTTTATGTTGTTTATTTGTCTATATGTTGTTTTTAATATGCCTTTAGACAAACCATGTGCCAATCTATTAATCAACACCATTGCTGAGTATTTTCTCCTTAAAACTGTAGTTTCCCAAAGGCTGACCCAGAAATACGGTTTGAAACAGCCCTCGGTTTGCTACTAGGGTTGTGACGGTGAGGAAATTTTCCCACCGGTTAATCGACGTGTGACAACACCGGTAATACCGGTATCACCGCGGGGGCGGGGCGTTCCCTCTTTTCCTCACTTTCCTTCGCTTTTAAATAGCTTAAAAGCACTGTGCGCATTTTACTTTCTCTTTTGAATTAGCGGCAGTTCGGCGTCATTTGCTTGAAAGCAACAAAATACAACGTCAAACTCACTTTAGTCTATATATAAAACATAGAACTTTTATTAACAAAAAAAATACACCATGCTATAGGGCAGGCTATGCCTAATATAAAATAACAAATAACTTACATAAAGTTTAATAGGTATACAAAACTGGAAATAAGTAAACATGTATAATATATAACCAGATAAATAAGAAACGTAGAACGTTTATTAGCAAAACGAGTAAGAAAGCTTGGAGGCACGGCATACACCTTGATGTCAAATAAAAT